TTTAAATAAATAGGTAGTTTTTTCACAAAAGAGAGGAAGGCAGAAGTCTTACTCGACAAATTTTGTTCAATTGCACAGCTAAATCGCGCACGTTATTTGTGTTTTACGTTGCAAGAAAAAAACTAAAAAACTGGTTTAGTACTCGATTTCGATTGATTATTTTTATATCATTGATTAAGAAACTCAACGCTTAAATGCTTATATAGTTAGTGTGTGTATTTGATCAAAGGGATCATGGTGAATTTTTGTTGTTTTAATTGTAAATAAAACTGAAGAACTAAATCTTTGCATTTTCATGTTTTGTCAAAGGATCCAATTCGGTAAGTACATTTGTTGGTGCAGAATTAACTAATGATAACTTTACTTAATTTAATTTATATTTAAGTTTGGACATTTTTAAGAAATTAGTAAAAAATAATAATTGCACAAACATAACCTTAAAATCAACCATTTTTATATTTGAGTTCTCTAAAAAACGCCGACAATCAAAGCTTTTAATAATGCTAAAAGCTGCTTAAATTTAGACGACTTATTTGTTTGACGATTTTTACTGAATTGAAATATTTACACTTTTCGCGTTAATCATTACTAAAATGTGTATTTATTGTATCTAATAGATACAATTTATATTTACAGGGACTGTATGAAATTTATTTCTTTATTCGGATTAACACTGTTTATTGAAAAACCGGTAAAAACTCAACCCAGGATTTTCTCTCGAAATACACCCCACAACAAAACAAATCGTGCCACGGTTTTTTTTTTTGATATTTTTTAACATTTATTCTCAAAAACACTTGTTTGTAAGACACGCGTTTGACAGCTGATTATCAAAAGTTGTACTTTTGTTACGATGATAACAGCCGAGTGGTGGCACTTCTAGCGATACTTCTTGAGCGTATAGCCCTAAATTGGTTCCAAATAAATAAAAAAGCAATACATTTTTAGATTAATAAGGTTTAAGGACTTCTAAATAAATTTGTTATGACGATTTAAAAATAAAAATTTTGATTTTTTAATACAAACATTATGCTGTCAATAAATGTCAACCTTATTTGAATTATTTCCATAACAATCATTATAAGACAGTCCACGACTTTAGTTTCATATAACTTAAATTATTATAATTATAAAACTCGAGAACTACTTCTCGGAAATAATAGTTGTTTATGTCATTAGGCTGAGAAGTCAGTCTTTTTGTGCTGAGCTCAAAGTATGATTGTACGAATCACAAAAAAACACTTGTTAGCCGAATGGCACAATTTTATTTTTTAAACTATATATAAAACGTAGAATAATAATAATTATTATTAAAAGTTGAAAATGCCGTTAGTGGAATTTTTTGTTTGGGGCGACAAAAAAAATTATGGTGAAAGTTTGAGTCCATAATATTAATATTATGAGGTCTATCATCGCAATTTTAGATTTTTTTTCCTGAGCGAGTTTTTGTCTCGGAACTCCCAAATAATTGAGTTTAACAAAATTGACTTAAGAATATTTTTTGAAGATAATTAAATGCTCTACAAAAAAGGTTTAATTAGAATTTCCCGTCAGATGAACCCTTTTTTTACAATCATACCTTAAAAATTGGTATAGTTTTACAATTTGATCTTTTAACTTTGGAATTTTGTAATTCAAGTAAAAATCAGTACCCTGAAAAAAAAAACGATAAATATTCTTATGGGAAATCAAATGCTCTACAAAAAAAGTCCTTTATCATTTTTGGCTAAATTCTCTCCATCAAAAGTTATTCAAGGTTAAATTTGAAGTAAAAACGAAATTTTAACCTTGAATAACTTTTGATTTAGTGAATTTAGCCAAAAATGTTAGGAGGCTTTTTTTGTAAAGCATTTGATTTTCCATTATTTTAACGATTGTATGAAATTTTACAAATGTCAACGAACTTCAGCCTGTGACAAAAACGACATAAAGCCACAACTTCTCAATTTGTATTTAAAAGGTCACTTAGTGTCATAGCGTTTTAAAGATGGTAGTAGAACAAATTATTTATATTTAACCGGTCTATAATTTAAACCTTATTGTCGTTAAAACATGTCACTAAAGTGTAGGCCTAAGGACTAGGCACATAAACTGAGCTGTAAAAATGTATTATTTACTATACCAAACCAATTAAAAATTTCTACTTTGGTCAGATCTATCCATCCTCACTTATTACTTTTAAAAATTAATTTATATTATAATTGTAGGTACGTTTTATGTATTTTAGAAATAAAATTGTAAATTTAAGATAAAATGTTATTCGATCAAGAAGTGTCTTTTTGTGCTCAATTTAGTGCTAACTTTGAGCTCAACACAAAAAGACTCACTTCATAGCCTAATGATATAAATAACTATGTGTCTATCACGTGGTATTATGTTAGTGCAGAATTTTCGGAGCACCCTGTATAGTTAAAAAATCACAAGTAATATATTTGTTTAAAATAATTAGGTTTAATAGCACTAAATATCAAAAACCCATTTTTAAATTGAAGAAATACAAAAAAAAATGTTACAAATGACAAAAAAAGTAGTAATAGTTTTTAAAATACTTTTTCTTACTACCTCGGCCGAAAATACGTTGTTTCGTCCCCGATTCCACGGCAGAAAGTTTACGTTTGATGCATTGGTCAAATTTACGTTTGATGCATTGGAATCGGGGACGAAACAACGTATTTTCGAGTATATTACACTACAAGGGCTACGAAGGCTTCGCTCGTGCCGCAAATGTCGGGGCAGGCATCAATATGTTTCGATATACACATTTAATTTTTTCCCGTATTTTCGGCCGGGTTGTATTTTCGGCCGAGGTAGTAAGAAAAATAGTATACACTACACGGGCAGAAAGTGTGAGATTCCTGCACTGCGCGCCATGATGCCCAAGCGTGCGGAAAGTTGCACTTTTGCACCCTTACTTTCCGCACGTCCGACAGTGCACTAGATAGGAAATAACTCTTTTTCTGTTGAGTTTAACGCGTTTAAAAGCAAGCATTTGTACTAAATTTATTCATGTTGCTTTTCGCATTTACGCACAAAGTTTAAAACGAAAATTTGCACAATTTTTGTGCATATTCTGTCAAAATATTTTCACAAAATGTATGAAAATTTGTTTTATATTATTCACATATTATAAGGAATATATCTTATAAACCTTTAAATTCATTATTTTACTTCTTTTATTGCACAGGGTGATCCCCTATAATGTCGTCCACCTTTAACTTTTTTAAGTGTCCCAAAAGTGTGGTTATGTAGTTACTAAAAAATAGTTATTTTCTACGTATTAAAAAAAAATGAAAAATTGATCAATATACAGGGAAAAACAAAAAGTTTATTTTTTTTTTAAAGGATCACCCTATATATGAATTTATTTTTCGATTCCTTGTAAAATTCTGAGCATAATTCATATAACAAACCATATCCTAAATTCAACTGTCTATAGGTTCTAAAAAATACTTTTTTTCTACGTATAAAGAAAATTGTATCAGGGAAAAACAAAAAGTTTATTGTATGTATACATAACCACACTTTGAAATTTTTTCGGACACTTAAAATAAAAAAGTTAAAGGGGGGCGACATTATAGGGGATCACCCTGTACATATAGATTAAACTGTGGTTTCGCGCGCGGAATTGTGCTTAGGCACTCTAAAGCCGCCTAAGATACTTACAAAACCATAATAAAGTATATCCCGTATGGTCTAGTGATACCTGTCTCTCTTTTTTACTCAGCTTACTGCTTCCACCTGGACCAAGCTGGCCCCATATTTGCTCAGCAGGAAAATGCCAGTTAACCTATATACCAAAATTAAGGGGCTCTGTAAACTGGGGACATGAGCTCGTCAAGATGCAATGTCAATATTCGTACCACGCAGATCTTTCGCAGATCCACCTGCATTTTACAGTTAACAACATTACTATATTGCGGCCCTTTTACTATATCTTCTTTTTATTATGTATATTTCATATTGAAATAAATTTGATTTGATTTTGGCTCTTACCCTGTACCAAAATGCTTTGTGGAACAATAGTGATTATAATCACTATTGTTCTACAAAGCAATAATTATTATGGAAACAAATCCAATAAGAGAAATACATGCGTTTTACAAAGTTGACATTTAATGTATTTTATGAGTTTTAATATAACCTGGGAGCCATTTTTGGAACACCTTGTAGGATACAATTTTTAAAATTGTAAAGGTTTTTAGAGTTTGTATATTTTATATAAATATAAAAAAGGGTTCAATATTTAAACAAAATGTTATAACAGTTTTTAAATTAAATTAAAGAAGGTTAAAAAACATTTTATACAATTATGTTGTTTTAAAAATGGCGAATGCTTCGGGATATTTTAAAATCTACGTAAAGTTTTATTATTAGCTAAAATTCTTAAATTTTCAGAAAATATAAACGAGACTTTTAAGTTTTTAGCTTTTAGCACCTTTTTAAATATTCATTCTCAATTTAAGGATTTGTTTTTATTTACTTGCAACCTTATTTTTATCTTAGGGATACCTAACTCAAATAATTTTTCCAGAGTTCACTAAGGTGAAACCAGTTTTCTTAACTTTCATACTAAAATGATATTTGAGTTTCGATACTTTTTCTTTCACAAAAGCCAGCAAATTAAATTTCATACACTTTGCGAAACCGTTGTTTTTCTTACAGTGGCCATATAAGTTTTTAGGGTTTTTAGGTTTATTGACTTTTTCATAAGAATTTAAGTTCATAAGAAATCAGTTACGGTTACTAACCTTTGTTGTATTTAAATTTAAAATTATATTGTATAAAAAATAACATAAATATATCCAAGAACGTATACTTTGGTTTATATTAATAGTGAAAAAAATATATGATAACTTTACAATTAGTAGATGCTACACTAACCTCCACTAGTGTACACTTACGAAAACTTTTTATGTGTAATAGGTATATTTATAAAATGTGTCATCATATATATTTTACAAAACATCCAATATAATTATCTATGATACAATAAAGTCTTTTTATACTATACTTGCTCCATGTTTCATACCTCTTTCCTTGCCAGTAATAATCAAAATATCCGCCCCATTTGTAATGGCAAAACTCTCCACCATGCTCCTTGATCCTCTTAATATCCGAGGTGTATCCGAGGATATCACAATTTTGGGGTTATTAGAGTCTCTGTAAAGTCTTGGCACGTCACCGTCTGATACCACACTGGAGTTTTCCGGGCGGGCTATGGGCACCAATAGGAAGTCGCCCTCTGGTTTCCAACCCAGACAGTCTCTTTGAACGTGGTTTATGAAGGAGCCTGGGTCGCCTATGGTGGCGGCGACGCTGGGAGCGGCTGGGTCCGATGTTTGGTGACTTCGGTAGGTAAAACCTGTAAATGGAAGGATAATTTTTATTTAAATTTAAGCAAATATGATGCACACAGCGGAGCATTTTTGGGCCAGGCACAACATATTAGGCGGGACCCCTAACAAAAAAATTTAGGCCATTAGGCCTCAAGGGTACCGAACAACTAGGGTAATTTGGGTACGCTTCTTACACTGTTTAAAATATCTGTGGTGTAAAAAGTAATCTTAAAATGGTGTCAAAATCCAACACCAAGAGGTGTTAATATAACACCATGAATTATGGTTGAAAATGTGTACCGATCGCGGCAAAGGCGGTGTGGATCACGTGATGTTCTTAAATCTCGCCCCTGTTGACTTACATGAAGAATATCTAAACTCAGGTAGTCCTTTGCTTTGGTGTGACACAACAAGTTGTTCGATACTAAAGAGACCTTAAATAGGTAGAAACAGCTGTCAATACTTAAAGTATTTTAAGTTAGTGCAACGCACTAATAACATTATCTCTAGCGAGTTGAAGGTTCCATTTTCTATATACTAGTAATGCGTCAAGGAACTTCCTGTTTCCTTTTTTTTCCTTTTTTCTGTGTAGTATGATTTAATTTGTCCACCAACACATAATATTTAACACTGAAAAGGAGTTTAATTTACACCAAGTAAAATTTATTTTAATACTGTGTGAAAGTTAAATTAACACCATTTTAGTATTTGAATTTACACCGAACCAACGAACCCTATTCAACACCATTTTGGTTTGTATCGATATAGACCATGTTTGGTGTTAATTTGGTGTTAAAATGGTCATGAAATTTTGAACAGTGTATGTGCAAAACCGGCTATATCCACTTTAATAAAATGTTGGGAAAATGGCAAAAACTCTCGGTTTCCTGGACTTTACAGATAAAAGAAAAAGCAAACTTGAGTTTTGTGGGCTTTGTGGTACTTGATTTATAAGACATACTTTCGTTTTCAAAAACCAAAATTTCAAAAAATGTTTTGGATATAGCCGGTTTTGCTCAAAAACCGAATAAAATGTGAAAAAAACCTCAATTATTCAAAAATATTAACAAAATAAATTTAGTGCAAACATGAAAAAACAGAACAAATTTTAGTAGTAATATCGACATATCCAAGCCACATGCTCATCATCATTATTATTTATTGGATATAGCCGGGTTTGCTATAAAAACGTGGATTTGGCCGGTTTTGCTTCTAAAGCTACCTTTTAAATGTGATTTTAACATGGATATAGTCGGATTTAAACAGAATTATCTTGGTTGTCGATAGAAACGAACCCAAAGATGCGAAATCAGAAAAAAAAACAAAAACTGAATAAAATAGATTTAGCCGGTTTTGCACGGATGCTCCTCAACTATAGTTGTAGCTACAAAGTCGGTTAAATTAGCAAATTGGAGGCATTTTTTCTTCTGATTAAAATGGCCAAAACAGATAAACAATTAAACCTCGAGTTTCCCAAATATTCCCAAAAAATAATTTATTTTTTAAATTTGACCTCCGGTCCGTATATTTTCACATATTTTGAAAAACAATTTAATTTGGAACAAAAAAATTATTATTGCATAATGAGGAGATCTGCAAATACCCCCCTACTAAACGTGGGTTATTACGATTTCAATTGTTTAAAAAATATATTCATAAAGTTATTTAAATAAAATAATATTTAAATCTAGCGGAAAGCATTTTAAGGTTGGTAATGTATCTGACTTAGAGTGCCGAGCGCTTAGAATGCCGAAAGGTAAAAGGAAGGGGGAAAGTATCCGGGAAGGAAGACGGGAAGGGAAGAACAGAAATTCTAGAAAAACCGGGTAACAAATAACAGGTGAAAATTTGGTGAATAAAAAAGTGTGTTCAAATTACATTCTAATAACAAAATTATTGTATTATAAATGGTCCCGAACAATTTGGTATAAGTAGTTTACACAAATGCCTTGTGTAAAGATAAATATTCGATCAATTAACTTCGATCGATCTATCTATTCCGCCATGATGATTGCTATTTAAAAGGGCAGGTTGTACTTGATTTTATCTAATTAAAAGGTCATGGTTGTACTTGATTTAATCTAATTAAAAGGTCAGGGTTGTACTTGATTTTATCTTAATAAATGTCATGGTTGTACTTAATTTTATTTAATTATTTTAATAAATATTTCTTAAAGGGGAATTACCATAAACGCTGCGTAAATTAAATATACTTAATATCGACTTTCTTGAATATGGAATTTATTAAATTGTACTCGCAGATTTACATTTATTTCCCGAAATTAGTTAAAGGATTATTACAAGTTATATTAAATTATGTAGAATTATTTTTGGAGTAAGTAGCAACACTGATTGTGTGATAGCGACATTTAATTTATGACCACTGTCCGTGGTCTTCCTTACATAAGAAGCCCATTTTGAATCCTATATCCTATAAATTTTAAGAGGTGCATAAAGATGGATTCATTCATATTATGAGTGAGAATATTTTGTAATAATATATTTTATGTACTCCCCTATTTATATGCTTTGACTTTATGACGTTTTAGTCACGGAGTGAAGTTAGCACGAGACATTAAATAACGCAAAGTATTTCAATATTTTGCTCTGTGTTTCTCTATGGTTCCACTAAATGCGCATGCGTAGTCTATTCTATATTCTGTTCTGTCACTCGTATAAGGTGCTGGTATTTTGAAAACACTGTTTTCTTTTGTCATGTTTGTTATTTATTGCCAAGTTTGAGTATTTGTCTTGAATGTTTATGAAAGAAAAAAGAGACCATGCCAGTTATGTGTTTAGCACGCAGTATAATTTAAATAAACATTCTAAAAAGTTTATCATGCAATGGCTATCGTGGTTGGGTTGGGTTGGGTTATCTATTTTTGCATAAACACGTGCCTCAGTACGTTTAAGTCATATTAGGAAAACAGTAAACAAATGCGAATGCGTTGGTTATGGAATTATTTGCGCAATTTAATGTCTCGTGTTAGATTTATTATAAATTGGTAAAAAGTGAGGTTAAATCCATTGATAGTTGATAGATGTAAAATTTTTAACAAATAAAATAGGCTTTAAATTCTTCTTTGTGTTAGTCGTAGATAACTCGGTCGCAAGCTTTGCTCGTGCCTAATTAAACTCTTAACTTAAATAGCGTTTATAAAACTTGATAGATAATATATTATATATTATATAATATATATATTATTATCTAGTCCTACATTGATAAGCTGTAACTTTATGGCGTTTTAGTCACGGGCTTAAGTTAGCAACAGTGCCTTTTGGGCATTTTAGTCACGGGCTGAAGTTATTAAAAATTGCGAAAAAAAGAGGTTAAATTCTTTGGATGTTAAATATTTATAAATTAAAATTGGCATAAAATTCCTATGCCAATTTTAATGCAACTCGTTTTATAAACTGTTTATTAAACACTAGCTCGCAAGCTCCGCTTGTGCTTAATAAAACTTGTTATTAAAATGGCGTGTATAAAACATGATACATAATATACTATTTTTTACTCCCACCTTAAAACGCCCATTATCGTTTCTGTTTCCATGACACTAAGTGAGTTTTTACTAAAAACCTGTTGCTAACTTTAGCCCGTGGCTAAGACTACACTAAAACTTTTTAATCACGGGTTGAAGTCAGTTTTAAGTTAGTTGACAGTTGTCAAATGTCATACAATCATTAAAATAAAGTGACTTTCTTGTAAAATAATACTAAATGTGAATATTATTTTATTACCTAAATAAAAAAATACAAAAGTATTTTATAGTTTCTTGACGCCAATATTTGAAAAGATTATATAAACGTTTTTGCTGATCTTTTTATTTCGCCGTAGTTAGGGTTGGGAAAATTTCACTTTTTGCTTGTACTTGAAATTTCACTTGAAATGTTCACGACATTTATGAAATTTATTAAAATTTCTTAAATGTCTGAAATTTCATGAAATTTATGAAATTTATTGAAACTTTCACTTTAAGGAACTTCTTTACTCAATGGTAATATATTATATATATTGAAATAAGCCCACTAGAGGACCATAACAAATTGCCTCTCTTACCTCCTACCCCTCTGTGGGCCCCTAATCTCCAATAATATAAATAGTAAATACCTATGGTTACCACAAATATCTTGAGATTTCCTTTTAAAATTACTAAAACTAAGAGAGATATAGCTAACGAGATTGTGCCACTTTCATTGTTTTATATTTATATATATTTATTATTTTACTAAAATTTTACGAAAATTGAAGAAACTTCATTAAAATTTTATGAGTCAAAGGCATTTTTCATCCGTTTTCCGATGCAATTATAGCAAAAGTAAAAGTTTAAATTAATCATGACTTTTAAAAAAAATTTAAAGTCTGATTTAATTTACAAATTAAATTGGCAACTGAATTAAATTATTTAAATTAATTTATGCATATAAGTAACAATAATTACTTATAGTGTATTCAAATCCAAGACGAACTAAACAAAAACGCCCAGACGCCTGATAACTCGTTCTTATTGGTCGATTCGGAATCTGTTGTAAATTATTATTAAAGGTCCCAGGGGAGGCCGCATGTGAAATTTATGCGAAATTTTCAGTAAATTGCGAAACTTTCAATGAAACTTTTGAAAGTTTCACGGGCAATGTTGAAATTTTCGCATTGAAAATTTCATTTAAAATTTTTAAAAATTTCACTTTTCCAACTAAATGAAATATTTCAAGTTTGAAACTTTTAAAGTTGAAATTTTCATTTGAAAATTTCAACTGTCCCAACCCTAGCCGTAGTAGTGCAGTTAACTAGATCTAACTGATAAAGCGCCAAAAATTTTGCGTACACGGCCATTTCAAGCTCGCGGTAGGTTATACCTACATTAAATTAAAAAAACGCAAGAAGTATTTTATAAAAGTAGAGATAATTTTAATAATTGAAAGGTGTGGACGGTACAAATAAAAAGATTTATCTTGTCCTGTCCACATCTGTCAAATATTGAAATTATCTCTTTTTTTATAAAATATTTATTGCGATTTTTTTTTA